AAGAAGCAGACAAAAACACTTTAGAAATGAATTTGAATCCATTTAATTCTTCTTCCTCAACTTAGGTTGTCAGATTAAAAGCAGAATGCCCAGTTAAATTTGAATTCAGATAAACAATCAATTTCTAAAATACATATTTAATTAGGCATCCTATAGTTTTATTTGCTAAATCTGGCAGTCTATGCCTGACTCCAGCTTCCCCTGCTCCAAATGCTGCAAACAAGCCTTGCTTGCTATAATCTTCCTGGAGAAAAAAATGATATATTTAAGCTTTTGAAATGACTTCTAATTTAGTGCTACTAGGATTTGATTGAAATTAAATTGTTTTAAGTTATGAGTCAGAAAATTTTTGCTTTAATCGTTTTTGGAAAGAATGTGTTCTTCCCTGTTATAACCTGCATACATACTCTTTACAAACTATGTTATAATAAAAGCTTCTCCCTCTTCAGAAAGGAGCATTTTAATGTCTTATTTGCCTTCCAGGCTCCTTGTTTCATGTTTTCATTGCTTGCATTGTATATACATGCCAATTTGATTCATGGGGGAGAAATATAAAGTACATCTAAAAATTGGCTACCTTTTAAGTAAATATTTCCTTATTAGAGCAAAATATAAATGATGGCTCTACTTAGGGAGTTAGAAGCAGAGAGCTTCAGGCTGGGGAGAACCTTGAAATTCTTCACCACTGTAAGTCTCACTGTTCTCAATGCTAAAGTGGTGGTGATAATAGTAGAATCTACCTCTTAAGGTTTTGTGAGGGTTAGATGACATAATGCACCAAAGTGCTTAATGCTCGACACCATGAAAACTTTTAGTGAATGGTGCTTGTGAGAAAGAAGGGAGAAAGTACGTATAGCATTAGGTATCCACTGTAACTTCTGGGCCTTTTTAGAAAAACTTTATTAGTAAGTCATCATGAATTTGGGATACATACACATACACATGTAGTTATACATACAAGGGTACTTCAGACATTCATCGAAAATAGAAAGTAAGAAGAGGTGGAGAGGATCCCCACTTGAAGTCTCAATTTTTTAATGTTAGGAAAAATTCTCTCTCATATTTCTGTATCTTGTGAATGGTAAATGAATACCTGTTAGCCTTTGAAAGAAAGGTCGGTGACACTCTTAAGCAGCTTCACCTTGCTTTGAGGTTTGCTATGAGGAACACATGTTTTTAAATACACACAATGACTGTAGCCTGTCTGGAAATTTTAAAGTGCTTTGTAATAGTCTCACTTAGCAAATATGAAAGTCGGGTCACTAAGTCCACATTAAGGTGAGGCTTTGGCTTCCAGTGTGAATCTCATTCTTTTGTTGTTTTAGTGTGAAGATCATTTTGTAAAATGGCCGCCTTTGGCTTTCCTCTTGTTGCTACAGGTGTGTGACACATTCATGTTGGACGGGGGAAGGGTATCCAGAGAAGTGTATTCTCAGATTCGGTTAGATCTGCATTATTAAACCCGTTTGGTGTTTGTAGAATTTAAAAGGTGCTTGGCTTAACGTTAATTAGATTTTCATGCTTTAGACTATGAGTGCCTGGATATTACTGTTTGTTTGAATGGTTGATATTTAATTATTTAGATATATTTTAGAATATTCCAGAGATGTGTATTTTTTGTTTTGAAATAATTTTGCCTTACATTTCATTTAAGAGCATTATCAGATAGAAGATGATGTGTCTTTCATAGGTTTGTTTCCAGTAGGAGTTTCTTTTTCTCTGGTGTTGAGACAAAAGTGAATAGAATTGTGATTTAAAGTGAAGTGTGTGGAGTGAATAAAACCTAGGGCTTGGTTTACATCAAAACATTATTATTAACAAATAATTTAGCCCAGTGTTGGGCCTAAAGTAGGAGTTTAGAGAATACGGGCAGCTCGATTGATCTGGCAAGTAATCATCTGCTTTATGAACCTCTAGTCTTAATGACATTAAGGATTTCAATGTGCTATTGAAGGCCACTGGGGATTTCAAAAATGTAATCAACTTACTGTATCTAGCTTTAATTTCTAGATTGATTTAAAGTAAACAGTATGGGTCTGAAGTCTGTCTAAAGCAACAGGAGGTAGGTTAGTAATTACTGCTCATAGTGGAGTGACTTGGAACAGTGGATGCTTTAATTGGAGGTCAAATAGCTGTCAAGAAATGACAGTGCATGTTTGGTTCTCATAGTATCCTTTTTAGAATGTAGAGAAGGTGCTTATTAAAAGTTACTGGCTGAGGCTGATTTTTTTTTTTTTGAGAGGATGTTAAAGGTGTTAAAACATCTGATTCCAAAGTAAAAAAACAGATTTGTCAGTTCCAATTGCTTCACCTAAGTTAACTTTTCTGGGTAATAAATTGATGTGTAACTGTTCGGAAAACAAAACAAAACATTTCAGAAGTGTTCCCAAGACATACCATAGATATTTCCTTTAGATAAACCCAAGACTGTTCTTCCCTATTGAAAAACTGGGTTCTGGCTGCCTAGACAAGTTTTTATAGATCTAGCAAGCAAAGCAGTAGGCTTCAGTATTTTTAATAGTTCACTGCTTTTGACTTCTTTAACAAGCATGTTGTAAAGATTAATTATAGAAATGAAAGGTGCCGGTATAATACCATAGTCTCATTTGAAAACCACAGTACGTGCTATAGAGCCTTTTTAAAAAAGATTTATTTATTTTAAAGTCAGAGTTACATAGAGACAGAAGGAGAGGCAGAGAGAGAGGTCTTCCATCCACTGGTTCACTCCATCCACTGGTTCACTCTCCAACTGGCCACAAGGGCCAGAGCTGTGCCAATCTGAAGCCAGGAGCCAGGAACTTCTTCTGTGTCTCCCACGTGGGTGCAGGGGCCCAAGGACTTGGGCCATCTTCTACTGCTTTCCCAGGCCATAGCAGAGAGCTGGATCAGAAGTGGAGCAGCTGGGACTTGAACCAGTGCCCATATAGGATGTCGGCACTGCAGGTGGCAGCTTTACCCACTATACCACAGTGCCAGCCCTGCGATAGAGACTTTTAAATGGGCTCTCCATGCATATATAAGGCTACATCCATATATCTGTAGAAAAATGGAGTTAAAAGATATATTTATTTTTGTGTAAAAATATTTTGAGATCCATGCATAGTTTTCTTTTTCCATAGTATGGAACTTTCGGAAGACCTCTCATAGGGGTGTTGTGGATAGTTTTCTGAGTTCCTGGAACATTTATACATAAAGAATACAGGCCCATAATCTTCTATTGCTCAAATATCATCCATCTTTTAGAGTTAATGTCTGATATGATGGAGCTGTGATTACTCTAAGAAACCTAATGCCATTTGTGTCATTGTACCATTTGTGTCATTGCTTTTCTATGTCAGAGAAAGTGAATGCAGCTTGAAAAAAGTGGTGATTAGTGGTATACTAATATAGTATGTGCTTGCATATGGCATTTTGATGTTATGTTGGGGAATATTTTTGGTATGCTTTGGATAGGCAGATGGGGATTTTTAAGTACATAAACTGTAAATCAGTCCTTTCAGTCAGATCATTAACTTAATCAGAGAAGGAAGAAACAATGCTAGATTTTTACATACAGAATAAAATCAGCCCTTTTTTAAAGTTCACTTCAATTATATACAAGACCCAATTTTCAAAACAAATTTATTTATTTGAAAGGCAGAGCAACAGAGAGACATCTGCTGGTTCACTTCCCAAATGCCCACAATAGCTGCCGCTGGGCCAGACTGAAGCCGAGATCCTGCAACTCCATCCAGATCTCCCGTGTGGGTGGTAGGGATGCAAGTACTTGAGGCATTGTCTGCTGCCTCCCAGTATGCACATTAGAAAGAAGCTGAAGGGGCTAGCACTGTGGCATAGTGGGTAAAGCTGCTGCCTGCAGTGCCACTTCCGATCCAGCTCTCTGCTGTGGCCTGGGAAAGCAGTAGAAGATGGCCCAAGCCCTTGGGCCCTTGCACCAGTGTGGGAAGATCCGGAGGAAGCTCCTGGCGCCTGGCTTCGGATCAGCACAGTTCTGGGTGGGTGCAACCCTAAATTATTGCTTGGGTACCTAAGGGATATGAAAGGATTAACCAGAGGGAAATATACAGGAAAATTACAGAAAGAACTTAAGGAATGAAGAACTTGTTTGAAAAACAAATAGGCAAAAGGAACAAGTTATCAATAATTTGATAATGAGATCTTGGAAATTAAATTATACATTAAAAATAGGAAAAGTAGAGGACTTATTGTACCATTATAATTTCAAAAAGAATTAGAGAAAAAGTATGGGTTACTTATCTTGGATATATGGAGGGGGAGGATGGAGAGAACCTGACTTTTTTTTTAATCCTAGAGATTTATTTAAAAAATTAATTAATTATATTTATTTGAAAGGTGGAGAAAGACAGGCAGACAGGCAGACAGACATAACAGATCTCCCATCTGTTCCCATGACAGCTGGATCTGGGTCAGACCAAAGCCAAGAGCCAGGAACTCAGTCTAGTCTCCCATGTTAGTTGCAGGAATCCCATCACCTGCTGCCTCCCAGGGTGCATATCAGCAGGAAGCTTGGATCAAGAGTGAAGCTGGGACTTGAACCCGGACACTCCAATATGGGATGCAGGTTTCCAAGCAGTATCTTTAACTGCTAGGTCACACGCCCACCCGGAGAACCTGATTTTCTTACTGCAAAGTTTCCTCTCACCTTGAACTGTGAGCTTGCTGGCATCTTCCAGGGGCAATTTGTTCATTTTCCTAGTTGAATTGTGTATACTCAGGTACCTCAGTGCTGGACTGCATGCTCTTCTCAATTCCTATCTCTAATATTGATATGAAATAAGCATTTCCGATAATATTGATCAGTTTATCCCACTTAAATGCTTATATTCTAGTAAAAAATCTTGCCTCAATGATAGTCTGTACATATATGCATTTAAGTTTTTAGTATGTAATAGGTCTTAATATCAGTGTTACTATATGCAGTAAGTAATATTTTATCTTAAAGCTTTATTTTAGACTAAAATTTGTACTATTTCTTTTAGGACAGCCAGTAGAGGGGACTTCATGTTTTCTGCGGATCGTTTGGTAGGTGGAGGCTTTCCATTTTCATTTTGTTGTTGCACCTAGTGATATAATCATGGTAGACCAAGAGGGCATTTGGGGGGTGAGAGAGGTTGTACTAAATTGCCATTGTGTTGCTAGGCTTCTGAAGTTGTTCTTTCTACTGTTGTGTTAAAGCTCTGCCTCAATCCTTTTCACCTCAAAGCCTTGCACATGAACTCATTCCCTTTAGTTCTGAGGTCCCACGATCTTGCAAATTGATCTTGGTAATCTGGCACTTAGAAACTCTTAAATGCCTCATCTTACATCAGTGACGTGAAGTGAAGTGCATTAGAAGAATATTAAAGATGTAATGCACAAAAACAAATATGTTTCTTGTAGTTTACATTGAGGGAGGTGGTATTTTGGCTCCTATTTACTATCCTCATATGTGAAATGCTAAGCTAGACTGTCTACACTTTCTTCAATTAAGGATTGACCAAACCCAATCTGTTTGGCTAGTGTGATCTGAGAGGATCTCAGGCCAAATTGGGTTGTCTTCAGGGTTAGTACTGCGTTTCTTGTCTTTTTATCTAAGTGTGCTCAGTGCTTGGAATGAGGTTGACACATTTCTCTGCTGGGGTTATTATTAGTCTTCATCCATTCAGGAAACATACACTGAACTCCTGAGAGTCAGCCACTGTGCTAGGCTCTGCTGGGAGGGAGGAGATAGAACAGTGAGGAATATAGACAATGGGCTCTAAACTCGTGGAGTTGTCAATATGAATACTGTTGTCAGTATTGAGTTTTGAAAAGAAAGAATTGTGCCTTATTAACCTAACAGAATCAGATAGTAGAAGGTAGATTCTTTTTTAAAAGATTCTATTTATTTATTGGAGAGATTGAGTTACAGAGAGAGGGAGAGACGGAGAGAAAGGTCTTCCATCCACTGGCTCACTCCCTAAATGGCCACAACAGCAAGTGCTGGGACGATCCAAAGACAGGAGCCAGGAGCTTCTTCTGGGTCTCCCACATGGGGGCAGGGGCCCAAGAACTTAGGCCATCTTCTACTGCTTTCCCAGGCACATTAGCAGGGATCTGGATTGGAAGAGGAGCAGCCAGGACATGAACAGACTCCTATATGGGATGCCAGCACCACCAGAATAGCCTACTGTGCCATAGTGCTGGCCCCAGAAGGTAGACTATTAAAGGGAATGTGAGGGGAAAAAACATGAAACTTTTCATTTAGATTTTCCCTGGGAAATTTATTCCAAAAGGATGTAGAAAACTTCTGTTCTGTTTTTTGCTTTAAATATTCTTAGTTCAGAGAACAATTCTATTTAAAAATTATTTGAGCTTTTAGGGGGCAGTGATGGCACCAAGATAAATGTGGTTGACATTTTTGGGGATATAGTTAGGTCATCTTGTGTTTTATGCTTTTATCAAACCAAAATAACAGGTTGGAGGAGGAACGAACTTTTGTCTTAATGGCTTGCTGCAGAGAGAACAGGGGTCTCGGTGTTCTCTCACAGAAAATGTTTTTCCTTTCTTTTGCTTTCTTGTGCTTTTTATTTCTACAGAAAATAGGCATTAAATCCCTGGTTATTGCAAAATGCTTCCCTGAAAGGGCAGGCATTATATGAAGGGTCTTCAAAAAGTTCATGGAAAATGCATATTAGGAAAGAAATTTTTGCATGTTTCAAAAATTTTTGCACCAAAATAAATATCTTTTAATCCTGTTTTCCACAAATCTTTTTGAAGTCCCTTGTATCTTAGCCAAATAAAGTATTAAGAATCTAGAGCATAATTCACCTGACAGTATGGTAATTTGGACTTCTCTATTTTCTGCAGTTGGGTTTGAAGCTCGTGATGTGGACTGGAGGAGGGTGTGTTGTGGTTGTGGGAGAAACTGGAAATGTTTAGGTTTCTATTGCTGAGGATTTCTAGTGCAAGGCTGCCATCATAGTGGACAGGAATTCTATCCTAAGTTTGTCAGCATTGGCTTCTCTGGCCCTCAGATTTTTTTTTTTTATATTTTAGTCACTGTTCTGGTTCTGTACTCTCCTGTGAGAATTAGACACACTAATTTCTGTGCCAGAGTTGCAGGTGATGGGTCAGGCAGGAGGTAGGGCTCTTTAGAGGAGTGTCACTTGGAGGAGGAGTTTCAGGCTATTCAAAGAAGATTCCTCTTCTGCCCTTGTAATTTGTTCATAAAAGCATAAATCTCCATGGAAAGCAGTGGCTGGAGGTGAGTGTGCACATGCACGCAGTATTCATGCGGTTCCTGGGTCCTCTCTCTGATACTATGGGCTGATGAAGTACTGGCCTATTTAGAATTGATCCTTTTAATGGCAGCAGGGTGTTGTGTTGTGATAACAAAGCATGGGGCCTGGTGCTTCTCCCTGCTGTTCCTGATTCTCCATCAGCAATGTAATATTGATTGGAGAAAATGTGCATTGCAGACTCTGCACAGCCTTTATGATAGCAGCCTCTGGTTGCTCCTTGTGGGAATACCATATCTGGTTTTTGGAGGCTGTTCCTGGCAGTTCTTTTAAAAATTTATTTATTTAAGGGGAAATAGAGAAAGAATGTGCGGGCTCCCATTCCCTGGTTCACTCCCTGAATTTCTGCAGCAGCAAGGGCTAGGTCAGGCTAGAGCTAGGAGCTGGGAGCTCAGTCAGGGTCTCCCACAAGGTTGCAAAGAACTAACGACTTAAGCCATCATTGCTGCCTTCCAGGATTAGCAGGAAGCTAGAATCCAGTGCCAGAGCCAGGAATCAAACCTATACACTCCAGTGTAGAGCACAAACATCTTAACTAGTGTCTTAACCCATTAGGCTAAACACCCACTGCTGTTCCTGGTTAGTTCTTAGTGATTCTTTCCTCTGTCTCACACATTGTGATTATTATGTTCCTTTTACTTAGCTAAGAAGCACCCTGAATCCTCCTCCCAAGTTCACTAAATTGGTTTAGTGAACTCATTTATTTCTTCACAAGACGTTTCAGGCTTTATTTGCAACATCATGGGCCTTTGTTACAAAGAATATGACTTACCAATTTCAAAGGTAATGAACAAGGCAGAAAAATTCCCAGTAAGCACTATTTCTAGATAATCAGAAGTATATTACTACCAAGGGGGCTTGCCATGAGTCTTGCTTTTTGCTGGAGTTTCACATCTGTCGTAGTCTGGACTGATTGAGAATCAGAAGGCATATTGAAGCCTTTTGGTGGCAATCATGTGCCTGAGGGAGGATACTAGCAACAAGCAGTCTGACATTTGGATCTGTCCCTGCATCAAACACATGGTATGGGCCCCCTTCCTACCTCCAAAGCTAAACCCTTGCCTAGTGTGCTACTGACTCTCTCCCTGACTTTTCATTCAGCTCCTGAGGTTCACAGCCAGCAGGAGAGTCTCAGCAGATTCTCAACTTATTCTTCCTTTGACTCTCTAGATCAGACTTGTTGTGGAAGAGGGACTGAATCAGCTGCCATATAAAGAGTGCACGGTGACCACTCCAACAGGTAACCAGGGTCGTTACTCAAAATTTTCCTCACAAAAACTGAGCTAGGATTGAGGGAGAAAGGAAGAAAAGCAGTCTGAATAAAATCAATATGTACAATGAGGAGTCTAGGCAGAGCTGTTCTTTTAAACATCTTTTAAAAACGCTGAGACACTTAATAAAGAAATCTGTAGAGGTGACTTTTTGTTAATGGCTTGTTTGTCAATTCAAGTTAAAGGTTAATAAATAGTCTTCAGCATGCAGGTGTTACCTCTGATGACGGCCCATTGGGACCAGAGTTAAGAATTGCTGGCAGCTTATCTTCACCTCAGTGGAGAAGCTGCTGGTGTTAACAAATGGGCAAGGCTGTTTTGGCATTGAAACTCCAGGTTAAAAAAAAAAGAATGAATAGCAAAAAAGAAAAATGAGAACTGGAGAAGGTGCTTTGTTCCCCTCTTTAATAGAAAGTAGCTGAGGATCCCTGTTTCAGGGATTTGAAATTCTGATTTTGTTCTTTAGTAAGTAATGGGAAACTGTCCTTTTTAAAGGATTGACCTTATGAAAATTGGGAGCTGAGTTTGTTGCATTTTAATTGACACAAATTCAGGATGAGACTGAGGGTTGAGCATGGTTTGATAACTATTTCAGCCTCTTTCTTCTGCTTTTAAGGCAGAATGGAGGATCATGAAAAGGGATGGAATGAGGAGGCTTTCTGCTGTGACTCACAGTGGGGTCTTAGTTTGAATTGATGGGGTCTATAGCATTCTCAGAGTGCAGTGATTCTCCTTTGAATTCAATTTGAGGAACGTGTGTGTGAACATTTTGCTATAATAAGTCCTATTCCTATTCAATGAGGTCTGCCTCTTCCAATTATCCCTTTGGGCTCTTTATGAAGAATTAAAAAATAAATACAAAAAATCATGACTCAAATCATTGCTTACTCAGACAATCTAAGTTGTTATACAGTGTGTCTGGACAAGGGTTGCTTTGTCCCCGTCTACTTTAAACCCATAGGTACTTTATAAAACAAATAGGTTGCTCCAATGATGAAAGATGAATTCTTTGGTTTTATTTCCCAACAGGGTACAAGTATGAAGGAGTGAAATTTGAGAAGGGAAATTGTGGGGTCAGCATAATGAGAAGCGGTAGGTTTGCATGTGTGTGATTTTACCTCTTTGCATGCATAGAAATGGTTGCTGTTTTCCAGGAGAGAGGCAGCCTTGTCTGTCATAATTGCTGCCTGCTCAGATTAAATTTCCCCGCCCATGTTGTCTGTCCTGATGGTTCTTCACATTCATGGCCTGTGTGCTGCTAAGTTGGGTTAATTTTAACTGCAGAGCATCTTCCCTGGTAGCCTGTCCCCATGTGCAAGAAATCTTTCAAAGAGATTCAGAAGAGAGTGAGAGGGTAGGAGGATGAAATGATGCTGTCTTGGGGAGAACAGGGCAGTTTGATGACTGAGGGAATATGACAGAAATTCGGGCCTACAGAACTTTGAATACCTGACTGGAGAGAATATTTGTTCTGTTTTTGTTTAATTTGTATTGTAGGGAAGAGTTCTTCTCTGCCAGGAGCTGGACTAAATGGCTTGTTCAATATTTTTAATTTTATATTTGATGAATATGTGATCATGTAGGCAAAAGCACTTATCTGTCATTAACTCTGTATTTTCATCTGCTGATCTTATAAATGTTGTATTTGTGTTTGAGCCCAACTAATTAGCCTTCTAAGCCAACCTTTGTGCTGCAAAATCACAGGTCTGTGATTAGAACCTATGCCACGTACATGGGAATGATTACTTCCATTCAGCAAACTTAATTTTTTTTGTAGAAGATGCACTCTTTTTTTTTTTTTTTTTGCTCAAAGGGTGGCAGCCCCACTCACTTGCACTAGAAACAGATGGATTTTTTTTTTAAACATCAATGTTCACTTTTCTCCTCTGGCTATGAAGTTCTTTCTGTTTGTGAATAATTGAATATGTCAAGTAAAATACCCCCAAACTCCCTTTTTTAAAAATAGAAGGTAACTGCTAAACAATATTGAATTCTTAGGATATTGCTCAAATATTAAAAATTGGTGATGACAATCAACTTTAAATTGTTTTGATTTACACATACTATTTTAAAAGAAAATATATATAAACATAGTAGAATACTATTCAGCCATAAAAAGCATGAAATCTTGCCACTTGCAACAACATTAATAGACCCAGAGGACATTGTGTTAAATGTGTTAAATGAAGTAAGTCAGGCACAGAAAGACAAATATCACATGATCTTACTCATAAGTGGAATCTAAAAAAGTTAATCTCATAGAAACTGAGAACAGAACAGTGTTTACCAGAGACCGGGGAAAGTACGGGGAGGGAGAAAGGGAAAAGCTTGGTCAGTGCATACAATGTTAGGTAAGAGGGATACCTCCCAAGTTCTGGTGTTCTACAGTATAGTAGGATGAATATAGTTAACAATAGCACATTATATATATATACACACACACACACACATACATACATATATATATATCAAAAAGTTTAGAAGATGCAATTTGGAATTATTTACCATAAAGAAATGATAAAAATTTAAAGTGATGGATATGCTAATTTCCCTGAGTTTATCTGCTTTGTTATTATGTGTTCCGGTTTTTCTGTAGCACAGCAAGATGCGTATAGTTAAAAATAATGCGTATGGCCGGCGCTGTGGCTCACTTGGCTAATCCTCCGCCTGTGGTGCCGGCACCCTGGGTTCTAGTCCTGGTTGGGGCTCTGGATTCTGTCCCGGTTGCTCCTCTTCCAGTCCAGCTCTCTGCTGTGACCCAGGAAGGCAGTGGAAGATGGCCCAAGTCCTTGGGCCCTGCACCTGCATGGGAGAACAGGAGGAAGCACCTGGCTCCTGGCTTTGGATTGGCACAGCGCCGGCTGTAGTGGCCATTTTGGGGGTGAACCAACGGAAGGAAGACCCTTCTCTCTGTCTCTCTCTCTCTCATTGTCTAACTCTGCCTGTCAAAAAAATAAATAAAATAATAATGTGTTATATAGCTCAAAACAGTTAATGTCTTTACCATAAAGAAACTATGAGATGTAAGGTGATGGGTATGTTAATTATGCTGAGTTGATCATTCCCCAATATTCCTGAATCAAAACATCACATCAAACATCCTCACTAAGCATGTATTCATATAGATATTATGTCACAATGTACTTTTTTTTTTTTGACAGGCAGAGTGGACAGTGAGAGAGAGAGACAGAGAGAGAAAGGTCTTCCTTTGCCGTTGGTTCACCCTCCAATGGCCGCCGCTGCAGCCGGTGCACCGCACTGATCCGATGGCAGGAGCCAGGAGCCAGGTGCTTTTCCTGGTCTCCCATGGGGTGCAGGGCCCAAGCACCTGGGCCATCCTCCACTGCACTCCCTGGCCATAGCAGAGAGCTGGCCTGGAAGAGGGGCAACCGGGATAGAATCCGGCGCCCCGACCGGGACTAGAACCCGGTGTGCCGGCGCCGCAAGGTGGAGGATTAGCCTATTGAGCCACGGCGCCGGCCACAATGTACTTTTTTTTAAAAAGATTTTATTTCATTTGAGATATAGTATTACAGACAGAGAGAAGGAGAAGCAGAGAGAGAGAGAGAGAGAGAGAGAGAGGTCTTCCATCCATTGGTTCACTCCCCAGATGGCCACAATTGGCTTGTGCTGCGCCAATCTGAAGCCAGGAGCCAGGAGCTTCCTCTGGCTCTCCCACATGGGTGCAGGGGCCCAAGAACTTGTGCTGTCTTCTATTGCTTTCCCAGGCAGTAGCAGAGAGCTGGATCAGGAGAGGAGCAACTGAGACTAGAACCTGTACCCATATGGGATGCTGGCACCACAGGTGGAGGCTTTAGCCCATTGTGCCACAGCACTGGCCCCCTGCAATGTACTTTTAAGGCACAGTCTCTTCTGTTCAGTACAGCTTCTTACCTAAATGTATCAACATGGTTCTTGCACCCTAGGTGCCTGTACCTCAGGTGTCTTGAAGTAATGCCCAGACAGAGTTATAGCCACTTGTTGATTTTCATATACACTAGAAATAAACTTTTTTGTTTACACTAATGATATAAGGTTTCCTCTTTTTACAAAAGATTTATTTATTTGAAAGGCACAAAGACAGAGAGAGAAGGGCGTGACACAAATCTTCCATCTGCTGCTTCATTCCACAAATGGCAACAGCAGCCAGGATTGGACCAGGCTGAAGAAGCCAGGAGCCAGGAACTCCATCTGGGTCTTCCACTTGGGCAGGGGCCCAAGTACTGGGTCCATCCTCCAGCTGCCTTCCAAGGTGCATCAGCAGGGAGCTGGATCAGAACCGGAGAAACTCTGACTTGCACTGGCACTCCAGTGGAGGCTAGTGTCACAAGTGGCAGCTTAACTCACTTTGCCACAATACCGGTCCCTCCTCTTAAATTTAAATGAAAACAATTAATTTAAGAAAAATGTTAAGTAAATAGCAGTACTGGTAGAATTCTGAAATGTCCTTTTTAAAATCTTGAAGATGATATGAGAATGAGGGAGTTTGGGTGAATACTTCTTTAAAGGAATTCAGATTCAAAAACAGCTCTGTGTTCAGAAACCAAGGAGGTGGCAGTGGTTGTGGTTCTCAGAAGGGGAATCATATTCTGCTTCTTCACTGTTTGCAGCAAAACCTTGCCAGTGAAGTCATTGCTTAGCTAAGTGATATCCCCTGATACCACCTTGATCTAAAAGAAAGTCTTTGGTTTATAGCCCCTGTTCTTCCCTGAGTCTTTTTAAACATTTTTTCCTGATAAAAATGATAAATTTAAGTGGTTTAATGGCTTCTTTAAAATAATTGGAGTAAAAATATTGCTAATTTTGAAAAAGCTCAACAAAACACTGTCTTACCTGTTTAATCATCGAAGCAAGATAGCTCTCAAACTTATAAGCCAGCATTAAAGCTAGCTGATCCTGGTTTCATTGACCAACCTTTACCCTTGTGCTATTGACCTTCACTAAGAATAAAGTATAAGCAGATCAGAAGTAAAAGCTATTCTGTTCAGAAAAATTGCTTCCTTCTTGACAGGGCATTTTTGTATTAAATTTAATAACTTACAGATTCTGCTTTGGCCTGTTCTTGGGCTTTCACTCTGGCTCCTCCAATACTTCCTTTTGTTGTTTTTAAAGATTTATATATTTATTTATTTGGAAGTCAGAGTTATAGAGAGAGAAGGAGAGGCAGAGAGAGAGAGAGAGAGAGAGAGAGGTCTTCCATCTGCTGGTTCACTCCCCAACTGGCTGCAATGACCAGAGCTGTGCTAATCCAAAGCCAGGAGCCAGGAGCCAGGAGTTTTTCCGGGTCTCCCACACGAGTGCAGGGGCCCAAGGACTTGGGCCATCTTCTACTGCTTTCCCAGGCCATAGCAGAGACCTGGATCAGAAGTGGAGCAGCTGGGACTCGAACCAGCATCCATATGGGATGCCAGCATTGCAGGTGGCAGCTTTACCCGCTGTGCCACAACGCCAGCCCCATCCTCCAATGCTTTCTTTGTTGTTGTTGTTGTTTTTATTTCCTTCCTCAAGGTGAAGCAATGGAGCAAGGTTTACGAGACTGCTGTCGATCCATCCGAATTGGAAAGATCCTGATTCAGAGTGATGAGGAGACACAAAGAGCCAAAGTATACTATGCCAAGTTCCCCCCAGACATTTACCGGAGAAAAGTCCTTCTGATGTATCCAATTCTCAGTGAGTGGCTTGAGTTCAATTCGTAACCTTTGGTTAGGGTTTAAGTTCAACTTAGTGCCTTTTTCCTAGGTATTTTGTATAAAAGCCAAAAATAGTTTCTAAACATGTTTTTCTTAGTTGAATTTAGAGTTGCCTTGGGCGATTCACTGGGAGTTTTTATTATGTAATAAGAGAATATGCATTATCAGAATTTATTAGCTCCAGAGAGCTTCTGTCTTGAAATGAACACCTTGAAGCATAAGACCTAATGAGGCAAAATATATAGAACACAGAAACTATATTGAGACATGTCTGCTCTCCACCCGAATGAGTACAGCAGTGATTTTCTTAAGGATTTATCCTCTCTGGAGGTAATTTTTCCCCTTCTATTCTGTTCTCTTTCCTATGTTTACTCAGATCATACATGGCATGGTCTCCTGGGGAGTAAGGGGAAATATGTTAAATTTAATATCTCAAATACTAAACAAATGTAGAGCTTATCTTGCATTTGATAATGGAAACATATATGTGTCATGTCCATTACCGAAAATAACAGTGATGAAGAACAAACACCTTCAAATGAAGCTTGGCCTAGTGATGTCTTATGTTAGATTACTATATTGCCCTGACTTCAAAGACACTTAAAAGCCATTCTGAAATAAACATTGGCATTGTTAATGCATTTGGCTTTCATTTGATTTCAGGCACGGGAAATACTGTGATTGAAGCAGTGAAGGTTCTTATAGAACATGGAGTTCAACCCAATGTCATCATCCTGCTCAGTCTGTTCTCCACTCCTCATGGTGAGTTCAGCATGAGAAAGTAACTAGGCCTCCAAAGTGCTGCTCAGGAGGTGGGTAAGTGCACATTCTTCTAGCCTCTCGTCCCGAGGAAAAGTTCATTTGCTCCCACAGTAAAATCTAAATCTAATTTTGGCAGTTATAACTTGCATTTGTCACCGCTAAGTTCACTGATAATATTTTTACACCTTTCTAATATTCAAATTCAGTTGGAGATGTATGAGGGTACTTCAGAAGGTTTGTGGAAATTGGAACAAAAAGCTAAGTCTGTTGCTAAAAATTTTGAATTCTATGCATATGAGGGGGTTATCAAAAAGTTTACAGAAAATACATATTATGAAAACTGTGCATGTGGTTGGTTTTGTGGCACAATGGCTTAAGCGGCTGCCTATGACACCAGCATCCCATATGGGCACTGGTTCAAGTCCCACCTGCTCCGCTTCTGATCCAGCTCCCAGTTAATATGCCTGAGAAAGCAGCGGAAGATGGCCCAAGTCTTTGGGTCCCTGCCACCCACCTGGGAGACCTGGATGAAGTTCCAGGCTCCTGACTTCCATCTGGCCCAGCCCCAGTTATTGTAGTCACTTGGGGAGTGAACCAGTAGATGGAAGATCAATCTCTCTCTCTCTCTCTCATTCACTCTCCCTCTTTCTTTTCTCTCTTTGTGTATGTCTCCCTCCCTCTCTCTCTCTGTAACTCTGCTTTTCAATTAAAAAAAACTGTGCATTAGCAAGAGTCTCAGGTGATTGCTGACGTCATAAATAAGAGTGCCAATTGTTAAATCAACAACGGGAGTCACTAGGTACATGCTCCCCACGTAGGATCTCTGTCCTTAATGTGTTTTACTGTGAAACTTAAAAACAACACTACTAGTCGAACAATACCCTATACCTTGTGCGGTTGTGTGAGTACAGCCTGTTGAAATCCTTGCTTAGTGTATACTAAGTTGATCTTCAGTATATGAAGGTAATTGAAAATGAAACTCGATGAAGGGCGGGATGGGAGAGGGAGTGGGAGAGAGGAGGGCCACGGGAGGGAGGGAGGTTGGGGGGCGCCACAACAATACAAAAGTTGCACTTTGTAAATTCACATTTATTAAATAAAAAAAACTATATAACAAACAAAAAACAGAAAAAAAAAGAACTTAATACTTTACCCTTTTAGTATTTTTTATGTTCTACTTAAAACTATTGGTTGAACTCTGTAATTAATACACAATTACTCTTAGGTGTTTAATTAATGCTATAACTAGTACTCAAATAGTATTTTACACTTTGTGTTTCTGTGTGGGTGCAAACTGTTGAAATCTTTACTTAATATATGCTAAATTGATCTTCTGTATATAAAGATAATTGAAAATTAATCTTGATGTGAATGGAAGGAGAGAGGGAGTGGGAGAGGGGAGTGTTGTGGGTGGGAGGGAAGTTATGGGGGGGGGGAAGCTATTGTAATCCATAAGCTGTACTTTGGAAATTTATGTTCATTAAATAAAATAAAATAAAAATAAAATAAAAACTATGCATAGGTTTAAAAAATTTTTACACCAAAACAAAGTTTTCCACAAATTTTGTAAAGTACACTCATGTGAACTAACCCCATTGAATAGAACTGTAATTGTTTTCCTGGGCACTCTGTTTAGGTAGAATGTGCAAAGGATTAAAAAGTCTCTGTTTCAATAAAAAGGGGGCGGGCAGCATTGCAACTCTGGCATTCCCATTTGTGTACTGGTTCATATTCTAGCTGCTCCACTTCCAATCCATCTCCCTGCTAGTGTGCCTGAGAAAACAGCAGAAGATGGCCTAAGTACTTGGGCCCTCTCACATGAGAGACCCAGATGAAGATCCTGGCTCCTAGCTTCTGCCTGGCCCAGCCCGTGGCCATCGTGGCCATCTGGGGAGTGAACCAGCAAATGAAAGGTCTCAATCTCTCTCTCTCTCTCTCTCTCCCTCCTTCTCTCTCTTTCTCTCTCTCTTTCTCTTTCTTTCTCTCCCTCTTTCTCTCTCTCTTTCAAACAAATAAATAAATCTTTAAAAAAAGGAAAAAGTCCCTGCTTCCTCTTGACTCCCCACCTAAGCCTGAGAATTACTTCCAAACAGCAAGAACTCAGGGTTTTAGTGAGCTCTGTGGTAAGCTTTGCAGTGTGTAGCAAAGAGCAGAAGTATTTTAAGTGTTTAAGACTTCTGTTCAAAATTTTTAGGTTTGTAAGATTTCTGCTCAAAGGGCATGGTCAAAGAACTTCATGCTGTTCATTTCCTGAAGGAAATGTGCTTAGTTTAAGATCCTAACTTTTTTGCTATGCATAGGAGAATTGGGATTGCATCCTATGAAAATAATAATAGATGCATGTAGAAACATAGCTTATAGGATATTTGTTGTATAGTTATTTAGTATAGGAAAAAATGGAAGTATATAAAAAACAATAAGAAAATGGTTAAATAATACTTGGGATCTTCAGAAAGCTCATGAAAAATGTGTATTTTGATAAACTATGCATGTATTTCAGAATTTTTTGCACCAAAATTGTAATTTCATTCTCCCATGAATTTCTTGAAGCACTCGTGTATGTATTCAAAGGGTCTAATATTATGTAACTGTTAAATCATGTTTTTAAAAAGTATTTAGTGACATAAAAAATGTACATGGTAAATGGAAACAAGTAGCACAAAAAATAAAACAGCATTAGAATAATGTGCAATGTTTTCACTAGGCTTAGAGATGACCAATATGAATCATGACTATTGTAATTACCAAAATCATATGAATTTTTGATTTTACATTGAACTTAATGAATCTTTCCTCACCATGATAAGCTACAGAAATACATAGTACTGTTTCAATTTTGGTTTCAGAATACATACATAATAGTAATAGTGGTTCTCTTAGGATGGTGAGATTCTAAGCGATTTTCATTTTATTTTTAAGCTTTTTGAGGTTATTTTCTAAATGTTCTACATTGATTTACTTCATAATTGAAAATAAAGAGAAATATGAGGAAACTTCTAAAAGTGCATGGAAAATAGAATTAAAAGATAAATTTATTTTGGTGCAAAAAAATTGAAATCCATGAATAGTTTCATCATATTAGGTGTATTCCATGAACTTTTTGAAGTTCCCTCATAAGTGGCTTCTCTGGTGAGGGTGTTTCCTCATCTCCAAAGATTCTGAATCTCACCCTGAAGAGGCTATAGAGTATTGAGTTGGGAAGGCTGCTTTCAACTGGCCATTGTAAAGGAATTGTGGCCTGTTTCATTACTTTGCTGCTTCATAATAAAAAAATTATCTGTAAGTCAATGTTGGTGGTGACAAAGGGTGATTTTCTTGGATATCCATTTATATGTAACACAGGTGGCATTTGAAAGCATTGAGATAATCCAATAAATCTGAGATTTCCACCTTTGGGTATAACAAAGTAATATTTTTAGTTTGAATAGTACACAGTAGAATAGTATAATATTCTTTGACATTATAACTGAAAAAATTTAAATATTTTTATTTTTCATCTTCTTAAAAGGCAAGAGTGCTAGGAAGAGAAAAAGAGAGGGTGGGAGGGAGGAGGAATTGGTCTTAATTCTCGGATTTACTTTCTTTTTTTTTTAACTTTTATTTAATGAATATAAATTTCCAAAGTACAGCTTATGGATTACAAAGGCTCCCCCCGCCATAACTTCCCTCCACCCGCAACCCTCCCCTCTCCCGCTCCATCTCCCCTTCCATTCACATCAAGATTCATTTTCAATTATCTTTATATACAGAAGATCGATTTAGCATATATTAAGTAAAGATTTCAACAGTTTGCACCCACACAGAAACACAAAGTGTAAAACACTGTTTGAGTACTAGTTATAGTATTAAATCACAATGTACAACACATTTAGGACAGAGATCCTACATGAGGAGTAAGTGTACAGTAGCTCCTGTTGTTGACTCTCTTGTTTATGACGTCAGTAATCACCCTAGGCTCATGTCATGAGTTGCCAAGGCTATAGAAGCCTTTTGAGTTCGCTGACTCTGATTTTATTTAGACAAGGTCATAGTCAAAGTGGAAGTTCTCTCCTCCCTTCAGAGAAAGGTACATCCTTCTTTGAAGACCTGCTCTTTCCACTGGGATCTCACTCGCAGAGATCTTTCATTTAGGTCATTTTTTTTTTTTTTGCCAGAGTGTCTTGGCTTTCCATGCCTGCAATACTCTCATGGGCTTTTCAACCGGATCCGAATGCCTTAAGGGCTGATTCTGAGGCCAGAGTGCTGTTTAGGACATCTGCCATTCTATGAGTCTGCTGTGTATCCCGCTTCCCATGTTGGATCGTTCTCTCCCTTTTTTATTCTATCAGGTAGTATTTGCAGACACTAGTGTGGGGAGCAACTGGGAGCAACTCGGACTAGACTAAGTTACTGGAATTAAGACTTATTCTATGCATCTGCTCTCCCACAATATGGCGCTGGGAGAGGAGGAAACAGCTTCTACACAGCTGCCTCCAGTTCAACCAATAAACAGCAGGACCTGCTCCTGATTGGAGGAGAGCAGTGTACTCGGCGTGTGGGTAGCAGAGTTGGGATTGGTGGAAGAGGACTATAAAGGAGGAGAGAGACAACATGCACGGGGAACATCTGAAGGAACACCTGTGCAGCCCCCGAGAGAGCCGGCCGGTGGTGTGCCGCTCCCCCGCGGAAGTGGGGAAAGTGGCAGGGGGAACCGCCCTTCCACGGAGGTGGAAGGGTTGGTAGCCAACCCGGGAAGAACCAGCAGCAAACCCGGGGAGGGCCGAGCAGACAAAAGAACAGCGCAGGGCTAAGTGTCGTTCCTCCATGAAGAGGGGGAGCGACACACTAGTCTTGTTTATGTGATCCCTTTGACTCTTAGTCCTTTCATTATGATCAATTGTGAACAGAAATTGATCACTTTGACTAGTGAGATGGCATTGGTAGATGCCACCTTGATGGGATTGAATTGGAATCCCCTGGCACGTTTCTAACTCTACCATTTGGGGCAAGACAGTTTGAGATTGGGCATGTCCCAAATTGTACATCTCTCCCCTCTCTTATTCCCACTCTTATATTTAACAGGGATCACTTTTCAGTTAAGTTTCAAGAGTTAAGAATAATTGTGTATTAATTACAGAGTTCAACCAATAGTATTAAGTAGAACAAAAAATACTAAAAGGGATAAAGTATTAAGTTGTTCATCAACAGTCAGGGCAAGGGCTGATCAAATCACTGTTTCTCATAGTGTCCATTTCACTTCAACAGGTTTCCTTTTTGGTGCTCCTTTTTGGTGCTGATCAGGGAGAACATAAGATATTTGTCCCTTTGGGACTGGCTTATTTCACTCAGCATGATGTTTTCCAGATTCCTCCATTTTGTTGCAAATGAGTGGATTTCATTGTTTTTGACTGCTGTATAGTATTCTATAGAGTACATATCTCATAATTTCTTTTTCCAGTCTACTGTTGATGGGCATTTGGGTTGGTTCCAGATCTTAGCTATTGTGAATTGAGCTGCAATAAACATTAAGGTGCAGACTGCTTTTTTGTTTATCAATTTAATTTCCTTTGGGTAAATTCCAAGGAGTGGGATGGCTGGGTTGTATGGTAGGGTTATATTTAGGTTTCTGAGGAAACTCCAGACTGACTTCCATAGTGGCTTAACCAGTTTGCATTCCCACCAACAGTGGGTTAGTGTCCCTTTTTCCCCACATCCTCGCCAGCATCTGTTGTTGGTAGATTTCTGAATGTGAGCCATTCTCACCCGGGTAAAGGGAAACCTCATTGTGGTTTTGATTTTCATTTCCCTGATTGCTAGTGATCCTGAACATTTTTTCATGTGCCTATTGGCCATTTGGATTTCCTCTTTTGAAAAATGTCTATTGAGGTCCTTGGCCCATCTCTTAAGTGGGTTGTTTGTTTTGATCTTGTGGAGTTTCTTGATATCTTTGTAGATTCTGGTTATTAATCCTTTATCTGTTGCATAGTTTGCAAATATTTTTTCCCATTCTGTTGATTGCCTCTTCACTTTCCTGACTGTTTCTTTTGCAGTACAGAAACTTCTCAATTTGATGCAATCCCAATAGTTAATTTGGCTTTGACTGCCTGTGCCACCGGGGTCTTTTCCAAGAAGTCTGTGCCGGTGCAATATCTTGCAGGGTTTCTTCAATGTTCTCTAATAATTTGATGGTGTTGGGTCATAGATTTAGATCTTTAATCCATGTTGAGTGGATTTTTGTGTAAGGTGTAAGGTAGGGGTCTTGCTTCATGCTTCTGCACATGGAAATCCAGTTTTCCCATCACCATTTATTGAATAGACTGTCCTTGCTCCAGGAATTGGTTTTGTATCCTTGATCAAATATAAGTTGGCTGTAGATGTTTGGATTGATTTCTGGTGTTTCAATTCTGTTCCATTGGTCTATCCATCTGTTTCTGTACCAGTACCATGCTGTTTTGATTACAACTGCCCTGTAGTATGTGCTGAAGTCTGGTATTGTGATGCCTCCGGCTTTGTTTTTGTTGTACAAGATTACTTTAGCTATTCGAGGCCTCCTGTGTCTCCATATGAATTTCACCATCATTTTTTCCAGATCTGAGAAGAAGGTCTTCGGTATCTTGATTGGTATTGCATTGAATCTATAAATTGCTTTTGGGAGAATGGACATTTTGATGATATTGATTCTTCCAATCCATGAGCATGGAAGATTTTTCCACTTTTTGGTATCCTCTTCTATTTCTTTCTTTAAGATTTTGCAATTCTCATCGTAGAGATCTTTAATGTCCTTCGTTAAGTTTATTCCAAGGTATTTGATTGTTTTTGTGGCTATTGTGAATGGGATTGATCTTAGCAGTTCTTCCTCAGCTGTGGCATTTCCTGTGTATACAAAGGCTGTTGATTTTTGTACATTGATTTTATATCCTGCTACTTTTCCAAACTCTTCTATGAGTTCCAATAGTCTCTTAGTAGAGTTCTTCGGATCCTCTAAATAAAGAATCATATCATCTGCAAAGAGGGATAGTTTGACTTCTTCCTTCCCAATTTGTATCCCTTTAATTTCTTTTTTCTTGCCTGATGGCTCTGGCTAACACTTCCAGAACTATGTTGAATAGCAGTGGTGAGAGTGGGCATCCCTGTCTGGTACCAGATCTCAGTGGAAATGCTTCCAACTTTTCCCCATTCAATAGGATGTTGGCTGTGGGTTTTTCATAGATTGCTCTGACTGTATTGAGGAATGTTCCTTCCAAACCCGGTTTGCTTAGAGTTTTCATCATGAAAGGGTGTTGTATTTTATCAAATGCTTTCTCGGCATCTATTGAGATAATCATATGGTTTTTCTTCTGCAGTCTGTTAATGTGGTGTATCAAATTGATTGTTTTGCGCACATTAAACCATCCCTGCATACCAGGGATAAATCCCACTTGGTCTGGGTGGATGATCTTTCTGATGTGTTGTTGCATTCTATTGGCCAGAATGTTATTGAGGATTTTTGCATCTATGTTCATCAGGGATATTGGTCTGTAATTCTCTTTCAATGCTGCATCTTTTTCTGGCTTAGGAATTAAGGTGATGCTGGCTTCATAGAAAGAATTTGGGGGGATTCCCTCTTTTTCGATTGTTCTGAATAGTTTGAGGAGAATTGGAGTTAGTTCTTCTTTAAATGTCTGGTAGAATCCCCTGATTTACTTTCCAAATGCCCATAACAGCTGGGGCTGGGCCAGGCCGAAACCAGGAGCCAGGAACCCCTTTCAGTTCCCCCATATATGTGATAGGGGCCCAAGCATTTGTGCCATCATTTGCTGCCTTCTAGGATGCATTGGCAGGAAGCTAGATCAGAAGTGTAGGAGCTAAGACTTGAACCAGTGCTACGATATGGGGTGCAGGTGTCATAAGAGGCAAGGGGTTGCTTAACTCTCTTTGCCACAATATCCAACCCATATAGCAGAAAAAGATTTTATTCCGTGTCAGGTTTGGTATGGCTTTTTAGTTTGGGGTCCCAGCTAGTCCCTTTCATCCAGTCCTTTCTCTGCCTGCCCTCCTCCCCTAAAGGTAGAGTTGTAACTCCTGAAAAAGCTAACGTACTCTGACACACTGAAGAAATTTTGCACTTGTTTCACAGTATTCCAGTTCAGAAAACAACATTTTATGTGTAATCATCTTTTTAGAAAGGACTATTTTCACTCTATTCTGGCCACCTTTAAAGCAAAACAAGATTCTTTAAGGGAAAAGTTATTATAACCGAGTAACTCTATTCTTCAAATCTTGGATATAAAACATTTTGATTCTAAGAATGTATTAATGAGAGGATGGGGGATAGTCTAACTGCTATCAAAGCTTTTCACATATGAGCATACTTCAAAAAGTTGATGAAAATGGCATTAAGAGATGATTTTGGTCAAAAATAATGAAATCCACATGTAGTTTTTCCATAATACAACTTTTCCATGAACTTTTTGCAGACCCTTCATTTGAGACATTATGTAATGAAGAGATTAACCATGTCTGGCTATGTATCCAAAGACTGTTGTTCCCTGTTCTCTGTCAGTATTAGACATAGTAACAATGAATATGGAAGTTCCTAAATTCCAACTAGTGTTACCAAAAAATCTTATCATAACAATGATTTTTCTTTTTTTTTAAAGGTGCCAAATCAATCATCCAAGAGTTTCCAGAGATCACAATTTTAACTACTGAAGTTCATCCTGTTGCACCTACACATTTTGGACAGAAATATTTTGGGACAGACTAAGTTATTGGAGGAAAATAGATATTATTGTGCATCATTACAGTTATGTTTTTGAATTTCTACTTGTTTAAATTCACTGGAGAAATGGCAGAGACAACATATTAAGGATGCGTTTTAATTTTTGATGCAGGTATAGTAAAAAGAAATATTTGAGGTTTATTTATTTTGTTTGGTAATTTCTTGACTACTGACACCAAATTCAACATTGAAGCCCTCAGAACTCTTACATAAGATAGAAATTTTCATAATTTGCTAATGCAAATTGCTGAACCCTCAGTGCATTATTATTATCCTAATGAACCTCTTAGTTTAGAGGTTGCTTGTAACCACAAAGCAAACCTAAACAAAAGTCACAGCTTTGGCCCAGTATTGTTTGCGTTTTATTTAGCTTGCTCTTAGCTCTAGTGAGGTTTCATGTATGTGACTGTTGCCACCTTCCTCTGTGCTTTACTTCCTGGTACTATACATGCTGGTAACTTGGAGAAGAGAAAAAAAAATAATGCCTCGTAGATTTTTGCATTTCCATTACTAACTTCACTCAGTTGGCAGACCCAGGATGAATGGTTAACTCTTTGGTCATGCCTTTATTTCCCTCATGGCTCATTTCCCAAACTGTGTCTTGTAGGCAATGCCTTGCCAAGCTGTAAGGCAGTGAAGAAGGTGATGGGACATTTTCAGTAACTGAACTGTAATATTGATTTATACCGACGGAACCAGTGGTGTCTGGATACTGACAAAGGGGAGCTTAGTACTAGTGGTGCCTTCAATTCTCCAGAAAGGAATTGCTGGTGGTTTTTCTGAGGTGTTGGGGAAAGAGGGAATTCTTGCTGGATTTCAGGCCAATAAATAAAGTAATTAAAATTTTAATTCATTTTTAATTTGGACGTTTCTACTAAAGGCCTTAGATTTGGAAATTACTTATACTGCATGTTTGTTGACTGTAGTTGTTTTAAAATGTCAGATGAAAAACCACATCCATGCTCTTTAAAAAAAATCCCTAAGATTTATATGTGTTCTTATTTAGGCTTCTGGAAGGAAGAGCAACTATTTTAGAAATCTGTGTGTTCTGGCCAGTGCCACGTTTCAATAGGCTAATCCTCCGACTGCGGCGCTGGCACCCCGAGTTCTAGTCCTGGTCGGGGCGCCAGATTCTGTCCCGGTTGCTCCTCTTCCAGTCCAGCTCTCTGCTGTGGCCCGGGAGTGCAGTGGAGGATGGCCCAAGTGCTTGGGCCCTGCACCCGCTTGGGAGACCAGGAGAGGCACCAGGCTCCTGGCTTCAGATCAGCGCAGTGCGCTGGCCGCAGCAGCCATTGTGGGGTGAACCAATGGAAAAGGAAGACCTTTCTCTCTCTCTCACTGTCTAACTCTGCCTGTCAAAAAAAAAAAAAAAAAAAAAAAAGAAAGAAAGAAAAGAAATCTGTGTGTTCTGAAATCTGTGTGTAAAACCCTAATCTCATTTTGCATTGATATTAAAACATTTTAACAGTGGTAGCTGGCTGATTACTTGATTAATTATGCTCTCAGGGGCCCATAAGCAGCTGTTGTGGGCCTTTGTTCAAAAGCACAGCAAAGAGCAGAAGGCAATGTCTTAGAAAGAACTAAAGCTGACAAAAATTAACAAAGATTGGGAAAGAGAAAAGAGACCTGGTATAAAGTGGATTATATTTTACTTTGGAGCCTAGACTACTAGAAGAACCTTACTGTGCATTTTCCCCTTTATTTTTTAAGGACTGTCATAGATACATCTCCCAATTTACAGTCTTTCTGTGGCAAGTGTTCTTTCAAATTGTTACTGAAATTCTTATCTATATCTGTCACTTATAATTTTGATACAATGTGGATCTTGTTTACTCCTGGTTAGTAGAAGCTGTGACTGAAGCCCATTGAAAGCCAAAATCATTATCTTCCTGTCCCAGGAAAGATGTGAGCCAGCAAATTTAGATAGAGAACAGATCTCCTTGAGATTATGACATTAAATTAGTTGGAAAGATGATGCCTACCACTAGAGGAGTTAATGTTTCTGAATTAGTGTGTTTGTTAGGGCTTTAATATTTTGTTTGAAGCGACTTTATTATAGAACATCAGATAAATTCATATTCAAGAGTAGGTTAAAAAACCGTATTTCAGGAAAATTATTTTTATATGATCACTCCATTGGATTTTACATGTTTCTGTTCCTTTTCATCAGTGAACATGATTGGGAGCTGACTACATTTGGTTCCCACCTGGAAGGCCTAGCATAAACAGTAAGAATTGTTCAAGGGGATCATATTCCCCCTGATGCTTATCCTCTACCCCGGCAGATTTCAAGAAAAATTGTAGCTATGTCTTCTAAAATTTGGCTGTTTTAAGCAAATGAGGCATTATTTGTAGGGTAAACTACTTGCACAATTCTTTGGACCTGGGACATTTCTGAAATGTGAGTTCCAATAAAACAAATCTTTAAATAAACCTGAGTGTGTACCAGACTCACCTGCAGGGTCACAGATTACTGGGCCCTACCGCTAGAGTTTTGGATTCCACAGATCTGGGTTAGGGACTGATGATTTGCATTTCTAGTAAGTTCCCAGGTGATGCTGTTGTTGCTGGACTGGGGACCATATTTTGACTTCATTCATTTCTTCTCTCCTAATATAAACATTTAATGATATAAATTTGTCTATAAACATTTAATTATATCTCACAATTAAAAATTTTTTCATTTTATTTGAAAAGCAGAAAGAGAGGGGGTGGGTATCTTGCATTAGCTGGTTCACTCTCTGAATGTCTGCAATAGCCATGGATGGGCCAAGCTAAAGCCAGGAGCCTAGAACTCAGTCTGGGGCACCCATGTGGGTGGCAGGGACCTAAGAATTTGAACCCTCATCTGCTGCCTCTCAGGGTACACATTAACAGGAAGCTGGAATTGGAAGTGGAACTCAGCTTTGAACACGGCATTCCAATATGGGATGAGGGTGTCCCAAGTTGCATCTTAACTGTTGTGCCAAATGCCCACCTCAGTACCTTTTTTCTTTTTTTTTTACAAAATTATATTTGTAAACATATAACAGGCTCCAAGATAATATTTCATTCATTCTAGATGTTATGACAGAGAATCTAGATGTTTGATTAGGAATGGAATCAAGTGTTGCCATCATTTGAAACACAGGGAACAGCTTACCATTTTGCCAGATTCTTTAATTCTACAAGTGGCCAGGAGAGCATTCCCTAGCTCCTTGAGTTTCTTCTGCTCCTCTTTTTTTTTTTTTTTTTTTTTTGGCTTGAAAGCTTGAGCTTGATTTTCCTCATCCATCGGCTTAGTCTGCTTCTTGGGCTGTTTCAGGGACTTCTTGCCACCTTAATAGCCAGACACGGTATGTGCTGCATACCTCACAAATTTTAGCATATTGCGTTTTCATTTTCACTGGGATCAAAATACTTTCTTATTTCCTCTTTTTGACCCAGGGTTATTTAGAAGTGTATCATTTAAACTCCAAATATTTATAGGATTTTCCAGATTTCTTTCTGCTATTGCTTTCTCATTCTATTGTGGTCAGAGAATATACTTTGTGTGATTTGAATCCTTTTAAATTTATTGAGGTTTGTTTTATGGTCCAGAATATAGTCCCTCCTGGTAAATCTTCTGTGGGTGCTTGAAAAGTGTATGTATCCTGCTGTTGTTGGGTGGAGTGTTCTGTAAATGTCAATTAGGTTAAGTGGATTGATAGTGTTGTTCAAGTCATCTGTTTACTGATTTCCTATCTGCTTGTTCTATCTGTTATTGGGAGAGGGATGTTGAAATCTCAGACTAAAATTTTGCATTTGTTTGTTTATCCTTTCAGATCTATCAGTCTTTGCTTCATATATTTTGAAGCTCTGTTGGGTATATAAACTTTTAGGATTGTTCTCTTGATGATTTGATTCTTTGTCATTATAAAGCATTCCCCCTTTATCCCTGTCAATATTCTTTGTTCTGAAGTCTACTTTGGCTAATGTTAATATAAATATTTTAGCTTTCTTTTGAATAATATTAACATGGAATATCTTTTTCCATTCTTTTAATTTAATGTGATTGTTTTTTCTAAAAAACAAAACAAAACAAAACAAAACATTGATTTGAGAGACAGAGCTGTCATTTGCTGGTTCATTTCCCAGATGCCCAAAGCCAGGTGCTAGGAATTCAGTCCAAGTCTCCCATGTGAATGGTAGGAACCCAATTACTTAAACCATCACTGCTGCCTCCTAGGATCTGTGTTAGTGGGAGGTTTGAGTCAGGAGCTACAGCTGGCAATTGAAACCTGTTACTCTGATATGGGATATGGGCATCTTTTTTTTTTTTTATTTATTTGACAGATAGAGTTAGACAGTGAGAGAGAGAGACAGAGAGAAAGGTCTGCCTTCCGTTGGTTCACCCCCCAGATGGCCGTCACAGCCGGAGCTACACCCATCCGAAGCCAGGAGCCAGGTGCTTCTTCCTGGTCTCCGATGCAGGTGCAGGCACCCAAGCACTTGGGCCATCCTCCACTGCCTTCCCGGGCCACAGCAGAGAGCTGGACTGGAAGAGGAGCAACCGGGACAGAACCCGGTGGAGATATGGGCTTCTTAACTGCTAGGCCAAATGCCTACCCCATGATTGGTTTTAAATCTCCCATCTTGCTCTTTGCCTTCTATTTTAAGTTTCAAATTTTAATTTTATTTTAAAAAGACAGTAAAGATAATTTACATAATATGTTCCAAGAGGTAACTAGTTTATAAAGTATCTTAAACAAAAATGTGTATAATATATTCAGCAAAAGTATATATAATTCAGCAATTATAGACTGTTTTTTATAGACCATGTACTTGAAGTTTTTCAGTAGTTCCTGAAAATTTGGTCATGGGAGTTGAATATAAGGGAAATATGCTTATAGGTTGCTTTTTATTTATACAGAATGGAAAAATAAAATGGGTTTTTGACAGTCCTTAATGAGCTTCAAGTGACTTTTTAATTTTCAAACTCAAATATTCTTTCATAAAATTGCTATTATCAGAGGCAGGCATTGTGGAATGGTGAGTTAAGCCACTGCTTGGGACACCTGCCTCCTGTATGAGTGCCAGTTCAAGCTCCAGCTGTTTTGTTTCTCATCTAGCTCCCCAGTAATGTGTCAGGAAGGCAGCAGAAGATTGCCCAATGCTTGGGCCCCTGGCACTCATGTGGAGGACCAAGATGGAGTTCCTGGCCCCTAGCTTTGGCCTGGCCCAAATCCAACTGTGGCATTTGGGGATTGAACCAGTGGATAGAAATCTCTGCCTCTCCTCTCAGTAGCTCTGCCTTCAGAGTAAAATTAAATAAATATTGCTATTACTGAAAGACTATTTTAAGTACCTAACTGTATATTGTATCTGAGATTACTTATGAGAGGAGATTTTAAAGATAGTACAGCTAGTTAAGCTACTGCTTGCGATGCCTGCATCCCATATCAGGGTGCTGGTTTGAGTCCTGGCTACTTTGCTTCCAATCCAGCTTCTTGCTAATGTACCTGGGAGGCAGCAGAAGATGGCCCAAGTTCTTGGGTTCCTGCCACCCACAGGAGAGATGCAGATGGAGTTCCTGACTCCTGGCTTTAGCCTGGCCCAGCCCCAGCTATTGTAGGCATTTGGAGAGTGAACCAGCAGATGGAAGATAATTTCTCCTTCTCTGTCCTTCTGCCTTTCAAATAAATAAATCTTTTTAAATAAATAAAGATATAATACAATATAAAAGATATAATCACCATTCAGAATATTTAAATGCTGGAGCAGCTGGGACTCGAACTGGCACCCATATGGGATGCTGGCACTGTAGGCAGTGGCTTTACCCGCTACACTGCAGCACCAGCCCTGCTATTGGTTTTCTATATGTCTTTTATCTCAATTACTGCCTTCTTTTATATTAATTAGGTTATTTTCTAGTATACCTGTATCAGGGATTCCCAAGACCACCTCCAAAATTTCTAGGACTCCAGAGTCATTAACTTTGGTGTTACGGTTTATTTCAGCCAAAGGATGCTAACCAAAAGCAGCAAAAGGAATTGACACGTGGAGCAGTGTCTGGAGGCAAACAGATACAAGTGTGCAAGACTCCTTTTCTAGTGGAACTGCATAGGATGCATTTGATTCCTCTGTTGATTAGCAACACATGTAAACTGTGGTCTACTAGGGAGCTCACTGGATTCTAAGATTCCAGAGTTCATTGCAGTTTGATCACAAAGGGACATGGTGCCTGCATGGTTGATTGCAGTTACCAAAACAGACCACCAGAAGAAAAGCAGGTGTTCTCCATAAGTCACATTGTCTATGAAGACTAGACAAATTAGTACCAGGTGGTTCAAAATTCCAAGTCTACAAAGCAACCTTACCAGGACATTTTAAGATTTCAATTCCCAGTAGATAGACAAGTGCCATTCATTGAAACAGACCCTCTGAGAATAAGCAAGGTGTGAGTAGCTCAGATCTGATGAGTCAGCTCTTTCCTGCATAGTCTATCCTCCTGGCCCTTGACCTAGGCTGTCTTAAAGGAAAACTATATTTTTCTGAGTACCTGCATTTAGTATAGCACTTATATTACAGCTATAGTAAAAATATCTGTGTCCTACATTTCAAGGATTCAGTGCAAGATGGAGATAGACTAGAAGAGGCAATTAGCCCATCCTATAAAACTATTATATACATCTCCATTATTTCATATTAATTTGATTGTTTCTTCCATTGGTCTGCTATCATGTATACTTTATGATAAATAGGACCATTTAGCATATTGATTAGCTGATGTTTAACTAGATATAATTCTTCCTCAAGCCAATCAATTTCCATTGATCTCACATCCTGAGAAAGTTTAAATTTCTCAATGCATATAATTATCAATATCTGTATTATGACTTATTCTTTAAAATATTTATTTATTTACTTGAAAGAGTTACAGAGAGGCAGAGAGAGAGAGAGAGAGAGAGAGAGAGAGAGGTCTTCTATCAGCTGGTTCACTCCCCAATTGGCCGCAATGGCTGGAGCTGCACCTATCCGAAACCAGGAACCAAGAGCTTCTTCTGGGTCTCACACATGGGTTTAGGGGCCCAAGGACTTGGGCCATCTTCTGCTGCTCTCCCAGGCCACAGCAGAGAGCTGGATTGGAAGTGGAACAGCCGAGACTCGAACCGGTGATCATATGGGATGCTGGCACCGCAGGCGGCAGCTTTACCCACTATGCCACAGCACCAGCCCCATGACTTATTTATGAAAGGCAATTGAATTTTACTAGCAATGCTAACATTACACCATATTTGCACAATAGTTATTGTGCAACTCTGTTTCATTCCACAAGTCAGTAAGAATTAGCTATTTATTATACTCTCCCAACATAATTGGCCCTTGACCACATACCAATGTTCTGATACACAGATGTCATGATTGACCAGGTTTTGGTTATTTCCAGTTTCTGAGTCAGATTATGTCCTTGTATTAGTCTGCTAGAGCTGTCACAATGAAATACAGACTGGCTGTAACAACAGAAATTTGTTTTCTCACAGTTCTGGATGCTAGAAGTCCTAGATCAAGGCGTTGGCAGGTTTGATTTCTAAAGCGTCTCTGGCTTTTAGAAATGGCTACTTTCTTGCTGTGTCCTTATGTGGTATTTCCTTTGTACGTGTGCCCCTAGTGTATTTTTGTGTGTCCATGTTTTCTCTTCTAAGGACACCAGTCAGATTAGATTAGGGCCCATCTAGTGCCCTCACTTTAACTTCTTCTTCTTTTTTTTAAAGATTTATTTATTTATTTGAAAGTCAGAGTTACACAGAGAGGAGAGGCAGAGAGAGAGAGGTCTTCCATCCGATGGTTCACTCCCCAATTGGCCTCAACGTCCGAAGCAGCACTGATCTGAAGCCAGGAGCCAGGAGCTTCTTCTGGGTCTCCCACGCGGGTGCAGGGGCCCAAGGACTTGGGCCATCTTCCACTGCTTTCCCAGGCCATAGCAGAGAGCTGGATGGGAAGAGGAGCAGCCGGGACTAGAACTGGTGCCCATATGGGATACCAGCGCTTCAGGCCAGGGTGTTAACCCGCTGTGCCACAGTGCTAACCCGCTGCACCACAGCGCTGGCTCCCTACTTTAACTTCTAGAGGCCCAATCTCCAAATACACTCACATTCTAAGGCTCTGGGTGTTAGCACTTCAAGATGAATTTGAGGAGGACACAATCAGCTTATAGCATGTGGAGACAAAGCTAGCTGTCTCAATTCACATGATTTTTACTGACACCGACTCCCCTTGTGTGTCATTCTATAGTAGATCTCAGCTGTTTTTTAAGGTAAGTATAAGGATGTCATTCAGACTGGTTCCTATTCCTGCTAATTGTAGTACAGGGTGCAACTTATTTTGGTCCATTTGTGGGGTGAGGCCTGACAGCGTACATCAATGTAAGCTATTCTTGCCTCCAGAGAACTTAGAAGTTTGAAAGTCCATAAGATTTCCAGAAGTGTTGATGAAGGGTCATTGCCTAGGATGTAGCATCATTGTGCAATTGCAGTGTCAGGCTTTATCTTTTTTAAAAGAGCTATTTATTTATTTGAAAGGCAGAGTTAGAGAAAGAAAGGGGGAGTGAAAGAGGGAGGGAGGAAGAGAGAGAGAAAGATCAATCTTCCATCTGCTGGTTCATTCCCCCAAAAGGCTGCAATGGCCAGGGCTGGGCCAGATCAAAGCCAGGATCTAGGAGCTTCCTCTGAGTCTCCCATGTGGGTGGCAGGGACCAAGCACTTGGGCCATCTTCTGCTGTTTTCCAGGTGCATTATTAGGGAGCTGCATTGGCTGGAATCAAAGTGGCATTTTATGGGATGCTGGCATTGCAAGTGATAGATTAACCCGCTATGCCACAACACTGGTCCCAGGCTCTATCTGTTTTAAAATAGTATAGCGACTCTACTGGGCCAGAGTACAGACCCTTTATCAGCAACAAGTCCTAGCATAGAATCTACCAGACCCAGGTCCCTAAAGCCTCACCAGCTTTGCAGGCTGATTCCTACCCTTTTGCTTTCTTCTGGAAGAGTATCTTTTTTTACTGGCCTATTCTACCTAACATCGTTTTCTTCTGAATGCTGCTCATTCAAAGAGAATTCACTTTGTCCTTTGATACTTCAACTGACATTAATCTTTCCCATAGCTCTCTTCTGTCTTGTGGACCAGCATTTAATCCACCAGTCATATTGTTGCCATTGTGAACCAGTTGCTTGAGTGCAGTTAAGATACATGGTTTGGGGCTGGCACCACGGCTCACTTGGCTAATCCTCCGCCTGTGGCGCCAGCACCCTGGGTTCTAGTCCCCCTTGGGGCACCGGATTCTGTCCCGGTTGCTCCTCTTCCAGTCCAGCTCTCTGCTGTGGCCTGGGAAGGCAGTGGAGGATGGCCCAAGTGCTTGGGCCCTGCACTCACATGGGAGACCAGGAGGAGGCACCTGGCTCCTGGTTTCAGATTGGCACAGCGCGCCGGCCGTAGTGACCATTTGGAGGGTGAACCAACGGAAAAGGAAGACCTTTGTCTCTCTCTCTCTCTCTGTCTAACTCTGCCTGTCCAAAAGAAATAAAAGGTACATGGTTTGTATCCAAAAATGATGAGTCCCAATACTAAGGTTATATTTGCATGGATAGTAGCCACATTTAGGTATGGTTTGCTTTGAGTGTGCCATAAAGTCCTCCCCATGCCTTCCTTGTCTCAAGGTGAAGTCATTTCCCATAGAATTGGAGCCCATCATGTGACATCTACTGCCTTATTTCCATCAGAAACTCTTTGTTTCTATTTTATTTATTATCCTTAAAGCCACAGAAACACGGATGATTTGTATTTATACATAACACACTTTGCCATAACAAGCATGCAGCTGCTACATTCTGTTCATAATAGTCAAGGTATCTGGTGATCAAAGTTTACAGATTATCTAGTGAACAGTCTGGCAGTTGCACACTGCATAGTTTAATGATTCACCAAGGGATACTTCCTGGAAGCTTCTTCCCAAATGATATCCTGTATGGTAGACGTAGCCTAAAATTTAAGAATCAAAAGATACTGGTGATTTACTTGTGCTCCATTTGATTTTCAACAATTAATTCTGTTCATCATTGTAGTGTATGACCAGAATATCTCACAGCATGATACCACTCAGGCTTGCAGGTTTCCGTTTGACCTTGTCAAAGTCCAAAAATTGGGGTATTCTAGGCAAACATACAACTTCACCCTCTTGGGCATCTGGTATACTTGTGCTAAGATAGAGTATTATTCTCTTCCTGTTAGTCTTTTTTTTAAAAAAAGATTTATTTGAAAGTCAGAATTAAAGACAGAGGGGAGATCTTCATTCACTTGTTCACTGTCCAAATGGCCCCAACAGCCAGGACTTGGCTAGGTTGAAGCCAGAAGCCAGGAACTCCATCTGGGTCTCCCAAGAGGGTGACAGAGGCCCAAGCACTTGGGCCATCTTGCAATGTTTCCCAGGAACATTAGCAGGAAGCTCGATTGGAAGTAGAGCCGCCAGGACTTGAACTGGCACTCGGATGTGAGATGCTGGCATTTCAAAGAGTGGCTTAACCCACTGTTCTGCAGTGCCGGTTCCTGTTGTGAACCTTTCTTGAGAAACCAATGTAATGTTGGATTTCCAGCACTGAATCCATTCTTTTACTTCCAGCCACTACTTTTCTTTCTTTCCATTTGTTAATGATTTTAACCTAGACATTTTCACCTTTGAAAGGAATGTCAGACTCAATGACAGTGCTTTCCCTTCAGTCCATTTCCACCTGTATAGAGTTACACAAATATAGAACTAGTGGCCTATCTTGGCCACTACTAAGCGAGACAGTTGCATTCATTGTTAATCTCAGTGTTTCAAGATGAGTGAAAGTGTAATCCATCCCCAAAAGTTCTTAGGAATTCTGGCATAAAGTTTGAAATATAAAATTACAGTTGTCCTTTGTCATCTATGGGGAATAAGTTCCAAGATGCCCAGTGGATGTCTGAGACTGCAGATAGTACCGTACCATAAATTTAATGCCTTTTTCATCCCGACTAAGCACCTATTATGGACTATGGCTGTGATCTTTGTAGTTTGAGATGCAACAGATAAACCTGCATGAATTTCTTTTTCCCTCCTGACAATATCATGGATAGAAGATTTGTTCTTACTATGGATCTTAGCAATCTCAGCATACAGCTTTTTTTTTATTACTTAGTTAAGAACTTTTACTTTTTCATTTTAAGGAAGCATTTGGCAGCTTATCTTTGGCATATCCAAATTTCCAGGTCATTATTCTTGCATTTTGGGGCCATTATTAAACAAAACAGTGGATGCTTGAGCACAGGCATAGCAGTCAATCTAATAACTGAGATAGATAGATTTTCTAAGTGACTAATAGGCAGGTAGCATATGCAGCATGGACACACTGGACAATAGGATGACTCAGGCAGGATGGAGCAGGACAGTGTTGGATTTCATCACATGCGTATAACAGCAGGGAAGTTAAAACTCATTAATTATTTTTGGAATTTTCCATGTAATATTTTCAGATGCTAGTTGATCATGGATAACTGAAACCACAGAAAGCTAAACTGCATATAATTGGGGAACTACTGTACAATTTCTTAATTAAATATTATCATGGCTCTGGCAAGTAGAATTTTAGCCCTGGTCCCAAAACCACTGTATCAGGTAGGAGAAAAAGAAAGTTGAGGTGATGTGGGGAATAATTGTATGGTTATAACAGTATCATACCCACACTTATCATCCTAAGTCCTCCAAAAAGTAGAGAAATCTACATTTCTTTCATCTCTCTCTTGTTAGTATGAGCACATATTCTTTATATAAGTAGGATTTCATACCTTTGTCTCCAACCAAATATTGAGATAGCATTCACATATAATAAAAATAACTAAAGTTTTTGATTCAGTGATTTTTAATATATTCACAAAGTTGAGCAACCACCACAATCTTATGCGAAAATATTTTCAGCAAACCAACAAGAAACCCTGTACTCATTAGTAGTCACTTCCCATTCCCCATCCCCCATTCCCTGGCAACCACCAATATACTTTCTTGCCCTATGGATTTGTCTATTCTGAACATTAGATATAAATGGAATAATCTGTGATCTGTTTCAAGTTCATTTTTATGCATGGTATAAAGAAGGAATTTGCATATGTGTATCTGGTAATCTAAGCATTATTTGTTGAAAAGAGCTGTCATTGCCCCATTGAATTGTCTTGGCATCCTTGTTAAGAATCAGTTGACCATAAATTAAGGGTTTATTTCTGGACTCACAATTTTATTCCAGTACCCTATGTGTCTGTCCTTATGCCAGTTTTGATTACTGTAGCTCTGTAGTAGTGTTGACATCAGAAAGTATGAGTCCTCCTACTTTATTATTCTTTCTCGAGATTTTTTGGCTATTTGTGGGTGGGGGGAGTCTTGCAAATCATTATGAATTTTAGGACCAGCTTTTCCATGTCTAAAAAAATAAGCCATTGAGATTTTTGACTGGGACTATACTGAATCTGTTGATCATTTCGAGTAGTATTTTTTTTTTTTTTGACAGGCAGAGTGGACAGTGAGAGAGAGAGACAGAGAGAAAGGTCTTCCTTTTGCCGTTGGTTCACCCTCCAATGGCCGCTGCAGCCAGCGCACCGTGCTGATCCGATGGCAGGAGCCAGGTGCTTCTCCTGGTCTCCCATGGGGTGCAGGGACCCAAGTACTTGGGCCATCCTCCACTGCACTCCCTGGCCACAGCAGAGAGCTGGCCTGGAAGAGGGGCAACCGGGACAGAATCCGGCGCCCCGACCGGGACTAGAACCCGGTGTGCCGGCGCCGCTAGGCGGAGGATTAGCCTAGTGAGCCGCAGCGCTGGCCCTCGAGTAGTATTGACATCTTAGAACTAATTCTCCCAATCCATGAATGTGGAATATCTTCCCATTTATAAAGGTATTCTTTAATAATTTTCAACAATGTTTTGTACTTTTTAGGACACAAGTCTTGCACCTCCTTGCTTATTCATCAAATAAATATTTTATTATCTTTGATGCTATTATACATGGAATTATTAATTTCTTTTTGGATTATTCATTGCTAGTATATGTAGATCTGCTGGTTTTGTGTGTTGATCTTATATCCTACAACTTTGCTGAATCCAGTTATTAGATATGGGCTTTTTTTCTGTGTGTATTCTTTGGAATTTTCCATATCTAAGAGTATGTCATCAGCATATAGATAGTTTTACTTTTTCCATTCCAATTTGGGTGCCTTTTATTTCTTTTTTGCCTAATTACTGTGGCTGGAACTTCCCTTACAATGTTACGTAAGAGAGGTGTCTTAATTCCACTTATTACCACATTGTCTTAGGAAAAATAATTCCTGACTTCCACTACTGAGTATCTTTATATCTTTATATCTTTTTTCTATTAACATGTTTTGTTTAAAATGTATTTTGACTGATGATAGTATAGTCATTCCAGTTTTCTTGTAGTTGCTCTTTGCATGATATTTTGTAAAAAGAAGCAACCAATTGAATTGAAAGGCACTATAAATTCCCTAAGTATTAGAAAACATACCAAATTCTACACTTAAACATACAAGATGGTATAGTCTACAATTATTTTTATATCATCTAATTTTAATGTCAAATCTTCATGAGATAGGAAGAGAATTATTCATTAATCAAATGAGGAAACATATCTTTAAAAGTGAAATGACTTGTTCAAGTCCATACGTTATGCAGAGCTCAAATTAGGAACTCAAATCTCTTAACTGTTCCTTCTAGTTCATCAAAAATACTTCTTATTTTAATAACCATTATTTCTTATAAAAGTTACTGCACAAATATGCCCATTAAATCACCTAATTACCAATATAATAAAAATAAAGGAATATTATGTTTAAAATTTACTCTTGTCCAACATGGATTTTATTCATGTTAAATAAAATCCTGGTAAATCAGTTCATTCAACATTTATTAAGTACCTTCCATATACCAAAAACTGTTCTTGGCACGAGTATACAATTGTGAACAAAGAAGTCCCTGCCTTCACAAAGACTGTATTATAGTCATTATAGTTCTGTTACAAACAAGTTAATAAACAAATGCATATTAGAATATTAGACATGTTCTTATCTTTATTTTTTAGAAAAAATATATGGATGAATTTGTTTTTAAAATGATATGTCACCTCAAATAGACTATTTATTTGCAAACTCTAATGAATATTTCTTAAGTTATTTTCATATTGGGTACTCTAGACTCTAAGGCTCACCATATACAGATGTTCCTTACTTAGGATGAGGTTATGTTCAGATTAATCTATCATAAATTGACAATATCACAAGTTGAAAATGTATTTAATACTCTAACCTATTAAACCTCACAGCTTAGCAGCACTGTGCACTGTAGCATGTCAGTTCTTATCCCTTGTGATCACATGGCTGAGTGGGAACTGTGGCTTGCTGCCCCTGACCAGCTTTTCAAGATAGCATAGTAATGCGTATCTCTAGCCTGGGAAAAGATCAAAATTCATAGCACAGTTTCCACTGAATGCATATTCCTTTTGCACCATTGTAACACTGAAAAATGGTAAGTCGAACAATCCTTAAGTGCATAACATCTGTACATTTGAATTTATGGGAATCTACTTGAGATTCTATTAGAGATAGGGGAAAACCCAAAGTATTTTTCCTACTCTCACTCAGCGCAACACTTCTGATATAAGATGTGTGGGCATTTCTTCCCACACACCAAGCAATCAATCCGCAAGTGGACACCTGCTGAGTGTCCTCTAATTCAATCAGTTCTAACATTTTCTAGCTGGAGCTACTGTCAGATCCCTCAAGTTAAGTGCTTAGTCCCACAAGACTGCCTCCCACTTCAGATGCAAGTTGCAAGTCCTATGTTGTGTTATTTGTGTTTCTGATCTGTCAGCTATAAGATGAGGGTCCCCCAAACCCCCTCCTCAGTTTCCATTTATTTGTTAGATGACTCACAGAACTCAGGGAAATGCTTATGCTTACGGTTTATTGCAAAGGATATTATTACAAAGGATGCATATGCACATCTACATGGAAGAGATGCATTGGGTAAAGAATGTGTAAAGGAGTTTGGAGTTTCCATGCCCTCTCTGGGCATAATACCTTCTACGAACCTTAGTATGTTCAGCAATCCAGAAGATCTCTGAACCCTGTCCTTTTGGGATTTTATGAAGGCTTCATTACGTAGGCATAATAGGCATAATTGCCTACATCGTTGACCACTGATAATCAGCTCAACCTTCAGACCCTCCCTAGGGGTCTGGGGTGGGGAGGGGGTGGAACTGAAAGATCCAACCCTCTAATCACATGGTTGGTTCTACAGGCAACCAGCTTCCAACCTAAAGACATCCAGGAGTCCCTAAACAGGAGACATCCCAGTAGCATACACAAAAACAATCACTTAAGAGGTACTAGAGATTTTAGGAGCCCTGCACCAGAAACTAGGGGCAGAGACCAACTAAGTGTACATGCCCTGTTATATCACAATATCATAGATTCCTGCTAACTTAATTACAATGATATTCAGAAACTTTACTACTGGGGCCAGCACTGTGGTGTAGTGGGTAAAGCTACCCCCTGCAGTGCTGGCATCCCATATGGGCGCTGGTTCAAGTCCTGGCTGCTCCACTTCCCAGCCAGCTCTCTGTTATCGCTTGGGAAAGCAGTAGAGGATGGCCCAAGTCCGTGGGCCCCTGCACCCATGAGGGAGACCTGGAAGAAGCTCCAGGCTTTGGACTGGCCCAGCTCCGGCCGTTGAAACCATTTGGGGAGTGAACCAGTGGATGGAAGATCTCTCTCTCTCTCTCTGCCTTTCAAATAAATAAATAAATTTTTTTTTTTAAAAAAAGGAACTTTACTACCTTATAACTTTATTTCCTCTTCCTCCTCTTTGTTCTGGTATTATGCCATATGTTGTCTATATATGTTAAACATCTAACAATATATTACAATTATTACTTAACATAACTTTCATGTCTTTCAAAGAACCTAAGAATAAATACATATGCTTACAGAATTTGTTATATTAACCTTTTTATTGTTTCTTTGTTTTTCCATTGTTTCATCTACATGAATGATTCAACATCATTTCCTTACTGACTGATTTTACTCCCTACAACCTCCTTTGTGCTGTTATTGCCAAATATTTCTATATGTTATATGTGCTGTTTTGTATGATGACTTTTTAAATCAGCTAAGGAAAGAAATATTCATGTATAAATTCATTTAGAATTATGTTATAAATTATAATTGTAGTTATATGCTTATAGTTGCATAACAATAAACATTATTTGTGTAAAATTGCATAATTTTATACAAATTATATAATTGTATGAAATTATTATTTGTCAGTCCCTGAGATAACATCTTTAATTTACATTATACTTAAAGGCTTAATCCTCCACCAAATAGAATTCAACAAATAAAAAGTAAAAATAGGGATCAGCACCGTGGTGCAGTGGTTTAAGCTGCGGCCTGCAGTGCCAGCATCCCATATAGGCGCCGGTTTGAGTCCCTGCTTCTCCACTTCCAATCCAGCCTTCTGCTAACTCACCGGGGAAAGCAGTGAAAGATGGCCCAAGTGCTTGAGCCCCTGTCATCCACATTGGAGACCTGGAAGAAGCTCCTGGCTTAGACCTGGCATAACCCTAAGCATTGCAGCTATTTGGGGAGTGAATCAGCAGATGGACAGTCTCTCTTTCTCTGTGTCCTTTTGTCTCTCTGTAATTCTTTCAAATAAATAAATAAATCTTTAAAAAAGTAAAAAGGCCATATTTTAGTAGGGAAATAGGCAAAGGCTATATTGAATAATCAAATGAAAAGATGTTCAACTTCACTCATATAAATTAAATTTTAAAATAGTTACAAATCATTAAAACTGTAGTGGTGTATAATTCTTAATTTGATTGACAAAGGTTTAAAACAAAGATTGATAAAATGCTGTATTTATGGGAAAACTGATACACACCAATATTTCTTTTTTTGTTTTTTGATTTTTTTTAACTCCCACATATAAAGGAGAATATGCAGTACTTGTCTTTTTTTTTTTTTTTGACAGGCAGAGTTAGACAGTGAGAGACAGAGAGACAGAGAGAAAGGTCTTCCTTTGCCGTTGGTTTACCCCCCAAATGGCTGCTACAGCCGGTGCACTGCGCTGATCCGAAGCCAGGAGCCAGGTGCTTCTCCTGGTCTCCCATGGGGTGCAGGGCCCAAGCACTTGGGCCATCCTCCACTGCACTCCCGGGCCACAGCAGAGAGCTGGACTGGAAGAGGAGCAACCGGGACTAGAACCCCGGGGTGCTGGTGCCGCAGGCAAAGGATTAGCCTAGTGAGCCGCGGTGCCGGCCATACTTGTCTTTCTGAGTCCACAATATTTCACTCAACATGATGTCCCCCAGTTCCAACCATTTTGATGAAAATGATAGAATTTTATCTTTTTTTATAGCTGAATAATATTCCATTGCTTATACAGGCAGTTTTTATCAACATCATATTCTCTCACTTTTGTTTGCCAAGGAAAAGTTTTAATTTTTGTGGTAAAATATGCACACATACAATTCGTCATTTTAAATTTTTAATTGTACAATTCAGTGCCATTAATTGCATTTACAATGTTGTGCAACCATCATTATTATCTGTTTCCCCAATTTTTTCCACCCTGTGGTCAGCACTGTGGTGCAGTGGGTAAAGCTGCCTCTTGCAGCACTGGCATCCCATATGGGCACTGGTTTGAGTCCTAGCTCCTCCACTTCCAATCCAGCTCTCTGCAAATGTGCCTGGGAAAGCAGCAGAAGATGACCCAAATGCCTGGGTCCTGGCCACCCATATAGGAGACC